CTGTCAAGGACACCCGCCGACCCCGCCACGCGGGGCACACCGCTGGCCAAAAGGTAGGGAACGGAGCAGAAGCAGCAGGGAGCAAGGGAGCGGGAAGGGAGCACAGAGGCAAACAAGGCGCACACTGCCCGGACTGGCTTTGGCCAGGTGCCGGGTACATGTTCGAGCACCACTGCCGAGCCGACCGTTGGTAAAGGGGCCCTGGGACACACAAATAAATACACACAAATAAAATGATTCCCCATATTTTCCCATATTTTCTGGGTTTTCGTCTTCCCGCCCAATTCCCATATTTTCCTATATTTTTCTGGGTCTCGACGATTAATTGTGTCTGTGTGTTTCTTTCCCTCCTGAGTTGTCTGGGCGAGGCCAGCCTACCAACAAGCGTCCGCTTGCGAGGAAGCGTCCGCACCGCGGAAACCTGCCGGCATCGCACTCCTGCTGCCATTCCAAGGCTGCGCGGGCCCTCGGAGCCCTCGATCCCCCCCCCCCCGCGACCAGAGGCCCAAATCGTGTACCAGAGCGCCCGCCACCGTTTGCTCGCGATGCTTGGAAGTGTAGAGACCTCCTAGATGGGGTCGGAGGATCGCGCCGCATCGCCGATACGTCGGCGATGAATCAGCGATGCATCGGCGATGCATTGGCGATGCACCAGCGATGCGTCGTCGACGGGGGCGACGCATCGGCGACGTCGACGTTAAGCAAATCGGGCTCCACATCGAGCCGCATCGGCGATGCATCGGCGATGCGGCGCGATCCTCCGACCCCATCTGGGAGCCCTAGACAATTGGGGCCCCCAGGCCTCGAAACCGACCCCCGGGCCCGTCCCGGGGTGCGCCCGGGCAGGACCCCGGAGGCGGATGCGGCCGTGGCCACGCGTGCGCTCCCGAGCCCCCAGGAATAATTACGCAAGCACGGGGCTTAACATTCGATCCTCGATCCTCGATCCTCGATCGTCCTCCTCCTCCTCCTCCTCTTCCTCCTCCTCCTCCTCCTCTTCCTCCTCCTTCTCCTCCCATCAAAATCCATTCTGGATGCGTGGGCCCCTCGAAGGTCGGTCCTGGTAGAGGTGCCACACACCAAGCCGCTGTTTGCCGGGCCTCCAGGGGCCCGAAGATGCAAAGCACGCCCTTCGGACCGTGATCCCCCCCTTTCCCCTTGAGGCTTGTTGTTGGGGGGGGGTCAGGCGGCGGAGGAAACGCTGCCGGGGGAGGCAAGGCGGAGCAGGAGGGGCTGAGGAAGGCAAGAGGGGGAATAGACAGGACCCATGGGGGGCGGAGGGGCGCAGGAGCAGAGGGAGTCGTGGAAATGGGCTGCGGGAGGGGGGCGGGAGGAGGAGGAGGAGGAGGTAAGGTAAGTCTCCACGGAGACCCAAGCTCTGACGGTCCTTGGGAAAGACTCGGATCCCCCCATCAAAACGAAACCTCGGCACTCCTTGACAGGACGGCGCCCAGAGAGATTGTCGGCGCAATGCCGATATCAGCCACTTGCTTGCTGGTGCGTTTTTTTTTTGTGTAAGGCAAGTAGTAGCCTGCCCGTTGAGCTCGAGGTTGCCAGGCGGGCCTGGGGACAGTTAGAGCAATAGCTTTTATCACTATTCATCAGCAGTGACATGCCAGCGTTCTCAAGCACAAGTTCCAACACCACAATCACCAGCCCACGCGCCTTACATCCAAACATGCTTCCAGCCCGGAAGCTTGATCAGAAACCAGGGCTGCAAACTGTCTGCATCAGAACGATGTAGCAACTTGCGAATGACTGCCTGCTGCTGTTTCCTGTCGCGCGGGAAGAATACAATTAGTTGTAGTAGTAGTAATAGTAGTAGTCGTAGTAGTAGTAGTAGTAGTAGTAGTAGTAGTAGTAGTAGTAGTAGTAGTAGTAGTAGAAGTAGTAGTAAGTGGTGGTAGTAGTAGTAGTATAGTATGTAGTAAGTAGTAGGAGTAAGTAGTATAGAGGTAAGTAAATCGGAGTAGTAGTAGTAGTAGTAGAAGGTCGTAAGTTAGTAGTAAGTTAAGTAGTAGTAGTAAAAAGTAAGTAAGCACTTAGTTAGTAGTAGTGTTAGTAGTAGTCAGTTCTAAATTGTGGAATAAAAAGTATAAACAGTAATAGTAATAGTTTTAGTAGTAGTAGTAGTAGTGGAAGTAGCAACAGTAGTAGTAGTAGTAGTAGTAGTAGTAGTAGTAGTAGTAGTAGTAGTGGTAGTAAACTTAGAAAACCAAGTATGTGTAGCACAACATCGATCAGTAGTAGTAGTAGTAGTAGTAGTAGTAGTAGTAGTAGTAGTAGTAGTAGTAGTAGTAGTACTAGTAGTAGTAATAGTAGTAGTAGTAGTATCAGTAGTCGTAAACCCAGTCATCGTAGGGTAGTAGTAGTAGTAGTAGCAGTAGTGGAAGCGTCCGCACCGCGGAAACCTGCCGGCATCGCACTCCTGCTGCCATTCCAAGGCTGCGCGGGCCCTCGGAGCCCTCGATCCCCCCCCCCCCCGCGACCAGAGGCCCAA